CGAAGCCGGCACAACCCGTGCCAAAGAGGCCCTGACCCACGGTCCAGCTCATCATCCATAAACAGTATCCACGTTGAGATACTTTTCACGTTAAACCCTAATGTAAATTTTATTCTGACACGAAGAAGAGAAAATTCGAGACTTGTTCCTTTTTTGCATAACCCCGTGATGTTTTGCAGGAAGCCCCCAGCGCGCGCGCCGCGGCAGCTCTGGTCTGACCCGGCAACCCCTGCGTTGTCCCTCTCTCTTCGTACTCTCCTCTCCCCGCCGCCATCGCTGCACCTCCGCCCCTCCCTGCCCTTCCTCCCGCCCACCCTCCACACCGCCGTCGCTCGAGCATTGAAACCGCACTACCTCTCCAGCATAGGGAAGCGCTGGCTCCATGTGAGATCTAGTGTCACGCAGATCGGGCGGACCTCGCCGGTTCCCACGGCGGCCATGGTCAGCGCCAGATAAGGAAGCACTAGCTCATCCCTGCCCTCTCCTCCCCGCGCCCTCTTCTTCCCGGCATGAGTGCCATCATGGCTCGAGCATGGGAAGCCATGCGGCCTCTGTGGCATGTGGGAGCTTGTGAGATCCGGCAGTGCGCAGATCAGGCGAAAGTCCCATTGCCATCCCCCTTCTCTCCCCCGAAGAGGCTCAAGGTAAGAAATGTGGGGGCTTTTAGGTCCTAGGGTTTGGTGGGGAGGGATTTGGACTTGATCTCATGGATTTTTTTTGCTTTGGTGCTTCATGGCTGCCGACACGGCAGATCCGGCAGCTGGAGCCTGGCGTTGGATCGGATCTTAGCACCACGGCATGCTTGCCGCGGTTCTTGGCAGGTGAGCTCACGATTGGTTAGTTTGATTCGAATCCTGCCGAATGTTGATTGATTTACCTGTGAATTTGTGATGCATCTTCAAAGTCACGGTGTTGAGTTTCACAACGACCAAGCGGCCAGGGCACACTATTTCTAATCAACTTGCGTCTATCAAAAGTATAATCTAGATCTTTGGTTGTAGAAGAGCTTGAAACACATTTCACCAATGTACACTAACATAGGAGTACCATTTTGTCCTTATCTGCATTTGGTCAGGCTAATCTTTGGACTACCATTGAACATTTCATTTCTACAATCACTCTACAGGTGGAACTTCTGCATCTTTCTAATGGCTCTGGTAGTCTGGTCCAAATATGAATGCTAATGTTTCTTCTTTAGGGGTCAGGCATGCTTCTGCTAATTTTTTTCATATGCATATATAACTTTGGCTAGGTAATATTTATGATCTAAATCGTGTATCATGTTGTACTGAAATTAGAAATTTCCTCTGTATAGTATTGGTTTAAAAGTTTAAAATCATATGCATTAATAAAACAAATAGTTCAAATGGCACAAAATGATTATGTACAAAGTAGCCACCTGTATTTTAAAGCTTCACACATTGAACAAGATATGATGGTATTGATATGAAGTGGTGATGAAGGATCCGCTTCTTGTCCTGACTTATGTGGTAATATTTTCGCATCGATTGCAGGATTTTTTTCCCCTCTAGGCTTACCTGAATTAGATGGCGGTGACGTGCTATCTGATGGTGCTTTCTGGTCGTTAGCTAAGACACTTGTGGAAGAAATGCTGACGAGTCCTGTTGTGATATGCTGTTAGTTCAAGAAGTAAGGAAACATATTGCTTCGTCTCTCAAAAAAGAGCAGGCACATGAAAGACCATTCTTTAAGGCAATCAATGTGAAGAAAGGTATTACTGATAACAGAAGGGGGAACACATCCTAAAGCACACCAGGGAAAAAATGATGCCTCTGATCATGTGAGTTCCCTTCATGGTCTACTAAATCAAAGTAGTTCTACATACAGGCTATTTATGGTGGTTGCCCATGTCAATATTTTTGCAGGTACAAATTCATATGAAGTGAAATAGAAATTTCTCTAGCAAGGATATTTTTTGTGTGCTTCGATTGCCTCTCTAGAATGTCAAACAACTTCAGCTCAGACTCGACAGGTAGAGTCTTCTAATTGAAAAGTTTTGTGACTGTAGCTCTCTCCTTCCTATATTCATGTAGATTTTCTGTTTGACAATATATGTGAAGGTGTCAGGAGGGATAAGTAGCGGTTCAGATACTGAAGGCGTGGACTTTAAACAATGTAAATAGTTCCTCTTGCATTGATTGATTATTGTGATTGTTTATTAGATTTGATAATTGTTGTACAATCTGCAGTGGCTAGAAAGCAAAGTACTGGTCTTTTGGAAAAGGAGCTTGCTGCTACAACCAACAGGATCTATCAAGGAACATTGTAGATTCGTGCTGAGCTGCTACAACTAACAGGACACTGCTGCTAACAAACTGACAAAAACAACTCTCTTACTTATCCTAATCTTAGGTGTTGACTCCACGCTGATATTGAGAATTACATATTAATGTCTGCTTAGATATTAACATTATCATTTAGTTATAAAGCAATGACTATCAAACTTTGATAATAGCTTTCATTCTTTAGGCCATTGTAGGGCGCCCGAAGGGCACCTAATGCTCTAGTGATTATTGAAGAATATGGATTTCAATGTGTGACTCTATGTTTAGTAAATCGAAGCCAAACTTAGTCTATTCCTTCATCTTCCCACCTTGAGGGGTTGATGTGCTTGTGAGCTTCTCCCACACTCCTAACTGAACCAAAAATTCATTTGAGCTCTCCTTAGGCCCTCTCTTCTGGGTGTGTGATTTGTGAGAATCAAAGTGGGGTTGAGAGATTGAGATGTGAGCACGAAAGAGCAATCCAAACCCAGAGCACTTGTGGATTTCATCAATCGTTCATGCATCATTTGTTACTCTTGAAGGTGAAGCATCCTACACAGTTGGGCGTCGCCTGACGAACTCCCGTTCTTGTGGTGAGCCACGGAAAGTTTGTGAAGGCCTCGATCTTGCCTCCTCAAGGGAAAGATCAACCTAGTGGATCGAGAAAAGTGCTTGAAAGATACCCCGATAGAGCTTAATCGTGGGTGGTCATTGTCGATGTTTCACCACCGATAGCCTGCCACGGGGGTCCCTGAGGTAGTTTGTTCGGGCTTCAACGTATGCGGAACTCGACGGTTAACGCAAGAGACAGTCGATTTATCCTGGTTCGGACCATCGATCGTTGATCGAGTAATAGCCCTACGTCCAGCCGGCGTTTAGCCTTTGCGTTGGATTGATTGTCAAGTATTGTGTCGTTCTGTCCCCTCTCTAGGAATCCTGCCCTCCTTTATATATTCAGGAAGCCAGAATCCTAGTCGGTTTACAATGAGAGTTCCTAGTAGGATTATAGAATAATACTACTACTAAGATTACATGGGAAGAATTTTAGTTAGACTAGATCTTCTTCCTTCCTTACGGGGTATCCTGTGGGTCCCGCACCGATAGTTGCTTATGACTTCCTCAATAGAGACGTATCAGGTTCAAGTGGGAACCTAAACTTTGGTGAGAACAAATCTCTTGTCTCCTTTGTGCTTTACTTTGTATATTGGTGTTTTTATCTCGATCTACTTGTTTGTATGTTTGTGAGTGGAGGTGTTTTGTCGACTTGCTAGTGGACATCTCTAAACTTATATCTTAAGTTTGGTTTGAGCTAGAACTCTTTAAGCTTAGTTTTATCTCAAAAAAAAATTCTGTCTGTACAAACTTCCGAACCAAATTTCCGAACATTCAAAAGTTCTAAGGATTCCTTCAGAACTTCCCAAGGTTAACTAGTTTGCTACATTTTGAGTTGTAAAATTTGTAGAAATTGCTTATTCAGCCCCTTTAGGCGATATCTCAGTCCTTTCACAGTTGTATTACCGACCCAAACTCGTCCTAAAAAGAATGCAGTCTCATTTTTCGAGTAGTCAGATGATTTGAACTTTGACCAAAGTTTTTAAAAAACACTAACACTTATAATAAAAGATAAGTACAATTAGATTAATTATGGAATGTATTTTCATAATTAACTTATGAACAAATACAAATGTTAATATTATCCACTATAAATTTGGTCAAACTTGAGTTTGTTTGATTGGCACGAATCTCATAATTGCATTCTTTGGGACTGAGGGAGTAACAATATATGAAAGGCATAACTATGTGTCTTGACAAAAATCTATATCTACATCTGTATCTATATCTATATTATTATAATATTAAAAAGAGAAAAATTCTCTCCAATTTATCGTTCGTTAGCCCATCCATTGACTTTCTCATCTCTTGTTGTCCACACGTTTTCAATCCAAATCCAACACAAGACCATGCTTCAAATAACGCATGTCCAACTATGGTTCATAATCCAATTTCAAGATGACATGGTCGTTATATGCATAATAAATCCCTAAGCCACAAGTTATTCATGTGATCGTGTAAAAAAAATTACAATTTATATCTAAATAAATTAATTTTTAGAGTTATCTTAAGTCAAACTTTTTCATATTTGATTGATCAAATTTATAAAAGCACTAAGATTTATTATGACACCATATTAATATTATTAGATACTCCCTCCATCCCAAATTGTAAGACGTTTGACTTTTTTGGCTCCAAGTTTGACCACTCGTCTTATTCAAAAAATTTGTGCAAATATAGTCAAATTTAAGTCATTCTTGAAGAATTTTTATTAATAAAGCAAACCACGACTAAAGAAGTGATATTTTACACAAATTTTTGAATAAGACGAGTGGTCAAACTTGGTGTCAAAAAAGTCAAACGTCTTATAATTTGGGATGGATTGAGTACATCGTAAACTATATTTTTATAATATACTTATTTATGTTAAATATTTATAATCTTATCTATAAATAAAAATGGTTAAATATAAAAATGATTTAATTTTTTAAAATTTAATTTATTTAAGGACGGAGAGAGTAATAATTTTCTTCTAGTAATAGTTAATTATTAAAGGGTAAAAGAGTAAGGTGAACCGTCATTGCTTCTAGACGCAGTTGCCTTGCCTTGCCGCCGCCGCCCCGTCCCAAACGTGCGCGCGGCCTGCCTTCCCGTCCAGGCGCGATGGCCGCGCGCCAAGCCCGATACCACCGCGTCTCCGCAGGCGCCTTCGGCGGCGAATGGGGTCTTCATGCGCCGCATCTTTCCCTTCCTGCTCGCGACCAACGTCTTCATCGGAGGTGAGAAAAAAAAATCACCCTCGACAGATCTCACCCCTTTTCGCCCCAGATTCGACCTCAGTTTGGTCCTGGTATCTCCTGCAAAAAATGTTACCGTAAGTGATTTGCGCTTGTGGTCGTTTTACCCTAAATGATTGTGAAATTAGATCACTTCAGTTTGGTCCTGGTGTCTCCTGCAAAAATGTGACATTTCTCTTGTATAAATGCTGGGTTGGAATTGGATGGCCTGGCTTGTCGTGGTTAATTTTGTAGCTGATGGAAAACGGAAATAGATCGGGTTATCTTGTGCCCTCGATGTCAACGGGACTATATGTTTAGCTGGTAAGATATGGATGATTTGTTGTTGTTGTTGAAATCTGCATGTTTTTGTCTTGTGTCGGAAGTAGAATTTAGATCTTTAAGAGTTTTATTTGCTTTCATTCCAGAGATAAAGAAAATTATACATGTACTACCGTACCAGATGTTTAAATTAATGGCACCACCTAGTATGAATTTCTATATGTTATAAATGGAAAAACAGAAGGGTAGGTACAAGAGTCCCAACATTGATTGTTAAGTGAAGTTCATCATTGGTGTACTTATTAGTACTCATGACTTGGAATTTGGTGGTACCAATGTTAGCACATGCTATGGGGTTGAAATGAACCAATAGAATTCAATCTCAGCCATTTAGAATTTAGATGTGATTACTAACACAGTTGTTGGAAGTTCCTGGAGAATATGGTCCCAGAGTAGCTTGTGTATGCTCTCTGTTTAGTAGGAAAATGGCAGGAGACACTAAGGGTGTGTTTGGTTTCTGGCTTGTTTCCACCCAACCAAACAGGCCCTAAGTGAACTAGTGCACAGTGGGAAACTCTAGAGGATCTCAGGCAGTTATACCTGCCATATAGGGAAGTTCGATAATTGCTTCCAATTGCGCCATTATGTATAAACCACGTATGCAAGTGACATTCTTCAAAGGAGTTCAAAGGGCATGATATTGTGTATTCACAATTATGTTTATGGCTGGGCACCTGGGTATGCCAGGTTGCTAATTGCCAACTTGATTTGCTTGTAATATAGGTTAAGATGAATAGGATGGATATCCATAGAGTTCACATGAGACAAGTATGTATTATGATTTCTATCTAGTTGGTTATTATCTTCTTTAAAGAAGGAAATTACTTGTAAGGTACACGTCATGATCTGGCAAATGTATAAGTGCACACAGCATAAAACCATTGACATCAGCTTTCATGTTGAGCATAATAACTGGTCGGTACTTGATGATAACATCACCCTGGTTGGTTTTATGTCATCATGCCTAAACTTTCACTGTTGTATTCTCTACTTCCTGCACAAATTCAAGGTAGTACCGATTAAACCATTGAAGCGTGCCAAACAACTAAACCTAAGCTAATATATGATCTGTTAATGATGTAAGCATGCCTGCTACACTATCATTAGAGTTAATACATGTAGGAATTTCTGCCACACTACGTTTACTTGCATTACATTGCTAATTAAACGACAATTTAGACCTTTGAGGCGCTGAAAGGTACTGCAAAAGGCATTTTGCACTTGTTTAGCACTCTTGTTTTGTTCTTGTGTTTCGTCACATGCTGCAGTAAGTTGACATTCTTGTCACATGCAGTTTATGTATTTGCCAAGACCTACAAAAGAGACCAGGAAAAGAAAAATGCTCAGGCTACTGCTGCTGCTGCTGCCGCTGCAGCATTGTCATCCCCAGCAAGTACAACTGCCAAGGCTCCAGATCCTTCTCCTGCACCTGTGCCCAAAAGGGTTCTCTCACCACTATCCGAAGATGAGCAGCAGCATCTATACAAATGGATGCTGGAAGAGATGCGGAAGATCAAACCACGCAATGCCACTGAGAAGAATAAGATCAATGAGGAGAAAGCTCTTCTCAAGGAGTTCATTCGGGCAGAGTCTCTCCCTCGTTTGTGATGGTTACATCGACTGTCCTGCTGGTCTTGATATTTTTTTTCTCCACCCGCAGTCCAGTGAGGACATCGTCTGAAACTATGTGCCTTGTTAGTTGGCACAAAACGTTAGCATTTCTTTGCACTATCACATCTCTTCATTTGACAGTAAGTAGGTCGAGTGGTTCCAATCTCCAGGTAACTGTTTTGTTCTGATGAAAACTTATTTTGATCGGGGATACTCGGGAGATGTTTTGGAAGCTTATTGCTGCTGCGAAGCGTTCTAATTGACCTGCTGATAATGGCTCCAACTAGCTATGCTCAGCTATTCTTATGTAAGATGTGAATTGAGCTATTCAACAGCTAGTGTGTATCCACACCCTTTTAATATGGATTGTAGTCTTGGAAATCACTGAGTCTGCATCCACGCCCCAGTCCCAATACTCCTAGCGTTGCCCAAGCCACCGGTGAAGGTCTAGTGGATTGTGCTGAGTATACAATGAGCTCGTTGGTCTCTGTAGCTCATATGTGAAATTCTGTCGCCTTGCCAATTTTGTTCGACAGTAGTGTTATCCCGTTTTTCTTTATTTTTTCTGCAGTATTATTGATACGAGGTGTTGTATAAGGATAAATAAAAAATACAGGGGGGCGTATAGTGCTTATCAATTAGGCTAATATCAATGAGAGTTTCATCTCACTGTTTTCAAAACTTTCATGTGTTGGAAACAGTGTATATAAGTTTTATTCTCCATGAAACGTATTTTATCCTATAAAATTTTTACCTTATCCCTCTTTATCAACACTATATGCGACATCAACTTATTTAATGCTCACGAAACTGATGAAACCCCGTTGAAACCTATCATCGATGGTTTATGTTCCCGCTGTTACTGTACGTAAAAGTACACGTGGTAGATCCTCGCTTGTGGACGATGTTCAGTTCATGTGCTCGACTGTGAAAACTCGAATAAATAGATTGGACAATGTTCAGTTCAGGTGTTTGATTGCGAAAACTGAAATAGATAAATATACAACGGTGGACTCTTGGAGGAAGCTCGATGTCACGATAAGATCAGAAGCAGAACTTGTTTATGTTTCTCTTCCAGTTTTGTTTATGTAAATGGTTAATAGAATTCTATTTTCCATCTAAAAGAAAGGAATATTCATTGGCAAAAGGTTTGGGTTCAAGTTACTCTGTTTTGGGAGCTATAACTTTTCCAAAAGCATCTTCTAGAGAAATTTCTTTAAAAAGCCCGAGAAGCTGATCTGAGAGTAGTCCCAACGCACCAGCGCAATTAGTAGCCCTAACCTCCATGTATGCTTCAAAGCTTCATGTCACAAATATTGATGGTTTTGCAGATTTGTAAAGTTACCTGCAGAGGCAACGGCTGCCCCAACTGATGAATGTACTGATGTTTTAATCAGTCTGATTCAGAGAATTGCAACAAAGATAAATTCAATCAGAATTACTGGATATCATATCATCGTCCATCATACGGAAAAACAACTTTATCAAACTTTTTGCATTCATAAAACACCATGAGAAGATAACACGTCTTTCCGTTGGTAGTTTGCACAACTGCATCATGTTGCAATCACAAACCCAACTAAAATCGAAGACTTCATGCTCCTTATTACTTCGAAAGTTCGAATTTGAATATGAAACGGGAAGATGAGGAAGCGCCGTAGTGGGATTGAAATAAACTCAGATCATATATTTGGTAACCTTGTACGCAATTGGTGGACGAGTCTGTTAGGATTTCCAATCCAACGCCCTAATCAAAACGAGGATTTTCAGACGACGAATCCCTTCTTCCCTGATCTTACTGAGCAGCCCGGCGGCGTGGTCCACGCCGGACGGCCGGAGTCCTCCGATCCGATCCCGCCTAGGGTGCAAGGTCACCGCCGGCAGCCACACATGGCCCAACCACTCGTCTCCTCCAAAGATGCCCCCGATCTCCGTGAGCGCCTCTCTTTCTCTGGATTATTACTTCCGTATTTTTATCTGCTCTCGTTGCAAGTAAACAAGACGATGGCCGGTGACTAAGATTCGCAGTAGTGTCTTGCCAGAGAGATTATCACCGAATTGATGACTCCATCTTGTTTCTGAACAGCAGCTGCTCCGGAACAGAGAGTCGTGGTAGCGAACAAGCACGGCGAGAATCTTGTGGGGATGCTGCACCACGCGGGGTCCAACAAGGTTGTAGTCCTGTGCCATCGCTTTGCGGCTTGCAAGGTACTATACATGAGTAATGTCATGCTCTGACGAGGCTTTTTCCTTGTTGTCTTCGAGACATGATTGGCTAAACCTTACTTTCAAGGTGAATTCCAGTATGGCAACTACAGGAAAGAGGCAGATGACTTGCATTCTGTCGTTATAGCAGTCCTACTGTTAAGTTGCTATAATTTATTATTTTTTTAATAAGGTGTTGTTCCATTGAACATAGGTAGCGAAAAGAATGTATAAGGTCGACAAGAACTTGCATAGGGAATCATACTTTGAAAACTTTGTTGTATATTTGTGTGTAACCACGTGCAGCATTATTTGAGTTTTAAAAAATGAAAAATGTAGCTCCAGTTAAGTGTCACTCAGTAAGAATATATCAAGTTAGCTTTTTTCGTTTATGTCTTTCTTTTGCGAGGAAAAGTTGGTTTTCATGTAGTTAGATGCTATGTTTTCATCCTCTCTCAGTCTCTCTAATCTCATTTATCCAAAATGAAGCTGTAGCCACCCCAGCTATCCTTGTAATGATCTAGCTAATTTTGAACAGTCTCTGAGTTTGTATTTGTTTACCTCCAGGTGGAAGTGTGGTGGTTCTATATGCCTCTATCTATGGCGATGTTCCTGTGGTTGTTAACCTTTCTGGTCGATTTTACTTGGAGAAAGGCGTTGAAGAGCGTCTAGGCAAAGAATTTATGGATCGGATAAACAAAGAAGGCTACATTGATGTCTTGAACAAATCAGGTAAGGAAACATATATGAACTTTTATATGCATGGCTATTTACATGTGCAGCTTATTTCTCTTTCGTGGGCATCTACTGACGTTTGTTGATTCCAATGTAGGAATTTTTTTGTACAGAGTAACAAAAGAGAGCCTGATGGAACGATTGAACACTGATATGCATGCAGCAAGCCTTTCCATCAGCAAGGAATGCAGGTTAAGAAATTAGTCTAAGCGTTATTTACCCTTTCGGCTAATCAACAATTAGAGAAACTAGCCGCATATAATATTTACGTTATACTTGTAATTTCCAGGTCTTTTACAGAACCCAAAATAGTTCATTTCTTGCATGATTGGCCAAGTGTGTGTTAGAACAAAATTGTCCTCATGCAAATTGTTCATCTACTCTTTGTCCAGGTTCTTCACTATTCATGGTTCAGCAGATAAGATCATACCTGTGGAAGATGCACATGAGTTTGCAAGGCTTATACCAAACCACAAACTGTGTGTCATCAAGAGAGCAAATCATGGGTATACTTCTCATCGTAGACAACTTTGTGACGCTGTCATAGACTCGATCACATCCAACGTGGTATAGAGAAACTGCAATTCGCCTGTTATTTTCTTGGTAACAAGTGTTCTGCAATATGTGGAGAACACTAGGCTAAGTGCATCTGCAATCTGTGGCGAACATTAGACAAGGTAAAGGAGCGAGTTCAGGTGTGGAAATCAAACAAGAGCTTGAATTCCCAACATACGTCCTGTTTCAGTAGGATGATTGTAAGCATGCCTTTTTCGTAGATGAATATGAATTGCTGCCTTTTCGACCACTCTGGTTTCTTTTTTGCTCTCCCTTTTTTTTATATAAAAACAACGAGCACTGACGTCCCTCCGAGCTCGCCTGCGCGCCGGAGCACCTGAGCACGAGGCGAGGGCGCGGGGCGAACCACCCCACTGGTTCACCGTGCACGAATGCAGGATGCTGGAACGGCCTGATGCAGCACTATGCGCAGCCGATGGAGCGGGATCATTCGCGATGGAGGCCCTTTTGGAGAGCCAAATGGTGTACAGGATGATGACATATGATCACTACAGTAACTACTAATTTGCGAGACTTGATCAAGAGATATTCACCACAAAGAATGGGATACCGTTGCTCAATCGCACAAGAACAATAAGACTAATTTTCATAAAACATAACCACATTTCCAGAATCATCTGTCAAACAAACATTTTTTGGGATCCTGTTCCAACGAAACTCCATAAACAACTCTACTGCATTATCCAACCGAACAGTCGAGATATGATACTCAGAATATCGAGACAGGAAACTATATAATAGCAAAATAGTTCAGGCGCTCCAAAATTATGCTTATATAGTACTAGAAAGCTACAGCTTTGTTCCAATACTTCACTTCTTTGCTTTCTTTGGTGCCCTGTGACATGGGTCAAATGAAGAAAAACACATCAATCAATAACAAAAACATGAATGAAGAGAACACATCAATCAATAACAGAAACATGATAAATCCAAGGAAACAAAACCAAGTTCCACGGCACTTACCCAGTAGATGGAGCTGTGGCTGAGACTGGTGCTGTTGGTTCTCTCGGGCCCTATACGATAAAAGCAAACCTTTTAACCTAGTTTATAAACGAATCATAAGACCTAAATGTACCAATCATGTTCCCTCCATTCCAAATTATAAGATGTTTTAGTTTTTCTAGATGCATTGATTTTACTATGTATCTAGACATAAGTGTATATCTAGATGCAGAGCAAAATGTATGTATCTAGAAATGCCAAAATGTCATATAATTTGGAATGGAAGGAGTAGCCATTTTAAAAGGTTAAGGAAACATAAACTACAATGCAGCCATGAGTTATACAAAATATACCTAAAAATCAACCTAGCAGCATGTCATTTAAAATGTTAGCACATTGATCCACCATTTTTATTCAACAAATCAAGACCATAGCAATTGACAAATTTCACTACACCGTAAAAACCATTAAAGATATTCCAGAACATTATGAGAAGCAGCAGCTGCACCCATGTTCAGAAACAAAAGCAGGTATGGATCAATATAACATTATCATACCTGGGCCAACCTCTCCTCCCTCCTAGCAATCTTCCTCTCGCGGCTCGCCTTGCTCTTTGCACGCTTGGCCTCAAACTGATCAGAAAGTGTCTTCTCTCTGAGCTTCTCAGCCTTGGACTTGTGGATACTCTCCATAAGCACCCTCTTGTTCTTGAACATGTTACCCTTGACCTTCATGTACATGTCATGATACATGTGCTTGTCGATCTTCTTGGCCTCACGGTACTTGCGTAGCAGGCGCCTCAGAACACGCATCCTCCTCATCCACAGAACCTTGGTGGGGAGCCTAGCCTCCCTGGTACCCCTACGCTTGCCTATAAAGACATCGGATTAGCACAAGTCTACCCATCCTCGAAAACTGAACATAAATGAGTTGCAGCAGCATACCATATCCAGAGTGCCGTCCCTTCTGCTTGGCCTCATGTGCCCTTCTTGCACGGGATCTTGAGTGGATCTTCTGAGGCTTCTTGATGATAAACCCATCCTTAACCAACTTCCGGATGTTCTGGCCTGTAAGTATTGCAAAAACATGGTCAGCTTATTTTCCTTTAAAAAGTTAGAGCAGAATAACAGGCATAGAAACAACTATACTTGACTAGGGTTTCAATTATGTGAAGTAAATGTGAAACATAAGTTCATGGTGATTGTAAAAGACATGTACATAAACAATAATACATATAATGCATAAAAAGAATTAATCACAAACTGGATTTGTTACTTCAAGCAAACTATAATTGCATCAGCTTAACTAGTATCATAGACAAATTAGAAACTGCACGGGTACACACGTAACAAGCTAGAACATGTACAGCCTACAAACTAGACATAAACAATAATCTTTAAGGGTGACCGCAGGTAAACACCACCGTAACATGATGGTGGAAAGAATAAGGCAGCAATTGATCCAATATAAGCACCGGCAGCCAGGGCATGTAAACCGATTAAACTATCCATCCGCCTTTGACCATGCCCATAAACTGAACCAGCAGACCCAAACAAGAATTCCAAAAACCACAGCGAACGTCGAACATATTCCGTCTAATCGAACTATCCCGATTCCCGAACGAAGCAGATAAATACCTCACCCACAGATCCATACGGCCCCAACCCGGTGAGCAATTAATCAACGTGGGGAAGAGGATAAGTCTTACGGGAGTTGGCCATGGAGATCTCGCTGACTTCATTGGGATCAAGCCAGACTTTGCCTTTGCCACACTTGAGGACGCTCGCGGCCAGGCGCTTCTGCAACTTCAGCGACACCATCTTCGCCGCCGCCGATAAGCTCTCGCTTCCGTGTACGTGTGGTGGTGTGGCGGCGTCCCAGGCGAATGCGGCAGGCGGCGCAGGGGACTCAAGTGTGGATATGTGGTGATACCTGATGCCATGGGGATTAGGGTTTTTTGTGGGCTCTAAGGTGGACCAGGCCTCCGTTCGCTCATTCCTATTGGGCCATGGCCCATTTACAAAACAGCACAGCTGAGCCGCGGCGGCGTTGACGAGCTGAAGCACGAGGGGAAGGTGCAGATGGGCAACGATTCATCGAGTGTGCCGAAAGCACTATAACATAATATCTCTGCAGATTAAACCTATCTAAGCATGGACTTTGGGGCTTATATCTAAGATTGAGCAACAGTGGAGATGTCATAATTGTTTTCTTCTTTTAAACGCAGTGTAGACGTAAACAAAGCTAACAGAAGAAAAAAATGTTGTGCAACCTTATTTCTCTCTTTCTTCTTCTTTATCTCCATATCATCAATTTCATATCAACATTGGGGTTGATCATTTACAAAGTTAATAGATGCCCGCCTATCATTTCGCAGTTTAATTAATTTTATAATTAGGAAGATCTGATCTGATGCAATTTAGTAGAAAATATTAGACACCATTTAGCTTTGGCATGGCAATCCCTCTCCCACTCACACACACACCACTGCCCTTGAATCCAAAGAAACAAGATCGTTTGATGTACGACTACGACACGAGGTGACATAGCCACTGACATGTGGGATCGGATCCATACGAGGTGATTGTTTGGATGGAGAGTTTATAGATCAGTTTATGTAAATTTTTTAATACTGAATTCCTGGAGAACCAGTTTTAAGTTGTTAAAATTAAGATGATATTTATCGTAAATCATGTTTGGTATATAAATGAGAAAATTGGAATTTTACTCCTATGGTAGATGAGTTTCGCTCAAATGCCAGCGAAGTTGTGGGCTTCGTCAGAATGCCTCTATGAAATGGGTCTTTCACACTATATTGCTATTTTAGATTTAAGCCAACTTTTAATCTTTTTCACCTCAGCTTTTGACTGCTCTAACCATTTTGTCCCTGGGCTCATTTCCCTTATCTTCTCATTCTCACACCTTCACGCGATCTTCTCTCTCTCGCGTCTCTCTCTCTCTCGTGTCGAACACAGGTGCAACTGTCGCTAGCGTAGCCGGTTGTAAGGGACCGTGACGTCTAAGAGGAGGGTGAATTAGGTAACTTAAAACTCTAACTCTAAATTATGACCTCTTTTTCTATCCTTAGCAAAAACCTATGTAAAAGATAAACTATCTAAATATGCAACTATGGTTTTACTAGTGTGTTGATATCTCTACCGCAAAAAGGAGTTATGCAACCTAGGTTCCAAACCTATCAACTAGCCTATCACTAACCTAGGAAAGTAAAGCACAAACCAAGATTGCAATGTAAATACGGAAGCTAAAGAGTAAGGTAGAGATATGCAAACTCCCATCGACGACTCCGGTATTTTTACCGAGGTATCAAGAAGCGCGTAAGCTTTCCCCTAGTCCTCGTTGGAGCCCCTCGCAAGGAATTCCTCACAAGGGCCAAGCTCCCGATAGGGTAACTCTGTGGATAGCCCTGGGCCTTCCCCACGTGCAAGTGGGTCTTCGGTGTGCCTTCCGGCAAGCCTCTCCCGGACCGCTCCCCGCCGTCTTCACTATCAAGCTTTCGGTTAAACCGCCGCGGGCCTTATTCCCTTCGGTACACGGTGGCGGCCACACCACAAACGCGGTTGGTGTGATCTCGCAAGACTACAAGCCCCTCCGGTGTACAACAATGGTGCGCGTAAGCACCGAGTGGTAAGAGGTGTGCAAACCTCACTAAACACTAGGCCTAAACCTAGAGCAAGCGCATAAGCGGTGGTCTAACTAACCTAAGCACTTCGCAAAGCACCTACGCTAATCACCGAATGTATCACTAAGCACTATACAAGTGGAGATTACTAAAATGGTGTATCAACATCATTGGTATGTTTCCTCAGCTCTCCACCCTCAAATGGCCGGTTGGGGGGTCTATTTATAAGTTTCATGGACAAAGTAGTCGTTGGGGACGAAACCCAGCTTTCTGCCATTGATCGAACGTGCAGGTCATCCTGATCAGACGCGTCCGGTTGTCCCGACCGTTGAAGCCGACCGTTGGCGCTCACTGTTGATCGGACTCTCTGGTGAGTCCGGTCGCTTACCATCTGACACGTCCGGTCGATGTTTCTCCGTTCTGGAACCTTTCTAGACTCAATCGGACGCCACTGCCTGGCGCGTCCGGTCGTCCACAGCTGCTGCGTCCAGTCCTTACTGAGTTGTTGCCGCGACGATGAACAGTGAAGTTCGTGTGTCCGGTCACTGCCTCGCTCAGAGTTCGGTCGCTGATGCTAACACCTATTGTTGCCGAGCAACTGATCAGACGCGTCCGATCACCTCTGCGGAGCTTGTTGCTTCGCGATTTTACGTCCGGCTAGGTTCCCATCTTCGTGCTTGGACTTTGCTTGATATCTTGGGTCTTCTCTTGTGCTTCTAGGGTCTTGCTTATGGTTGTAAGGAAAAATGGACCCTAGGCCCATTTACTTTAGATTTTGGTGTTTGATGACCAACACAACCAAATTGGACTAATGATTTTGCAAGTGATTGTTTTATAGTTCAATAGGGTGCAAGACGTGACTTGGACAAACGCAACATGATGATCCGATGATCAACACCTCAAGCAAGACCCTAAAAGCACAAGAGAAGACCCAAGATATCAAGCAAAGTCCAAGCACGAAGATAGAAACTAAGCCGTACGCAAGATCGCGAAGAAACTGCTCGGTAGAGTGACTGAACGCAGCGACCGGACGCTGGAAGATGAGCGACTGGATGCTCCGATCAAGAGCCCATCAATAGTAGGCGTCTGCAGCAGCAACCGAACGCTGAGTACTGAAGGTAACCGGACACACCGATGACACTGTTCACCATCCCGGCAACACACTCAGCACTAACTGGACGCTGGCGGCAAATCGACCGGACGTAGGGACTGCAGCGTCCGATCGAGTACAGAGAGGTTCCAGAGCCATGAAATTGCGATTGGACGTGTCCGGTGGCATGTGACCGGATGCCAGCAGCGTCTGATCAATTGATCGTGGCTCTAACGGTCGAGACGACCAGACGCGTCCGATCAGGACGACCTGAGCGTCCGGTCAGTAGCAGAAAAGCGGGATTTCGTCCCTAATGGCTACTTTCTCCATGGGGCTTATAAATAGTCCCCCAACCGGCCATTTCACATGGGTGGAGCTGAGGAAACATACCTAGGGTGTTGATACACTATTTTAGTGATCTCCACATGCATAGTGCTTAGTGATTCATTAGGTAATTAGTGTAGGTGCTTTGCGAAGTGCTTAGGTGTGGCAGAACCGTCCGAAATAACGCAATTACGGAGGCGCTCGTCTTCGACCAGACACTAAGCACCCCGAAAGCGGGCTACAGCGGGCGGATTCCATCGGGCACACCCTAAAGGAGAGCCCGAATAGTCCACATTTTTTCCCAAGGATCCAATAATAAGAACGAGTTACAATACTTAATTCATTTCATACATCTAGAGTCCTCAAAAATATATTATTACAGTACCAAAGTCAGAGTGCGGAATATTAAACAGCGGAATGATAATAAACATCTATCGATAATGAACAAGGATCCGTCTGTGCCCACCAGAAGAATCCTTTACACAATGGGAACGTCTCAAGCAGTACCTGCAACAAGGGTAAATAAACCCTGAGTACACAATGTACCCGCAAGACTTATCCGACTAGTGGAAATACTTTCCCGACTCCAATGGATATGATAAGCTTTATGGTTTGCTGGGTTTCTTTTTGTAGAAAGCAATACTAATAGTGAAAACTTATTTACGTTATTATTAGCAATCATGATTAATTCATCATCTAGCCATTCTATGTAAGCACATGTTCTACTTTCAAGCAAGGGTTGAGCAATCAGTTCCATTTCTTCGCCTTTCATCTTTCAGTTCTTACTATAGTGCTAGACTGTAGACAAGTCGTACCGGATCGCCCGGCGATTCGTGAATCAATGCCCCTAGCTGGGTACCCCAAAAACACACGCCCCGCTTGTACCCCAGGCACAAGCAGGACCAACCCATCGCTCTCCTGTCATGGGGTCTAGGTCCCCGTCCAAACTTGGACTCTAAGCCCCCGCTTCTAAGTCCCAGACTTAGTGTGGTGCAAGGACCTCCACCATCCCCGCCTCCAATCAGTCGGTCTGAAAAAAGCCGGAACCCACGACAAGAGAGCAATAAATCTTCCTTGCGCCCATACCCAAGTATGTGCTCGGGATAATAAATCTGTGACTTGCCTAGAGCCCAATGCAACGGCCGGTCCTTAACCGACACGAATAGGGAAAAAGTGTAACCAAGCTATGCCCTGTTGGGCGCAGGACACAACCTCTTACACCCACCAATGCCCAAACCCTATCCCTGTCTGGTCACTATTTTTCCTTTCCACCATTTTATCATGAGTGATCATAATTATCACCTATTTGTGAGTAACGGCAGGTTACTCACGCTATCGAAATCCTGAGCATAGCAGCTACTCGACCTATACTAGTAGGACTCATAGGTAGATATATTTATACATGTAGTTTCCATAAAATGCCTGTAACGTAAATGCACATCATATCTATATTCACTGATCATTCAAAAATAGGGGTTATGCACCGGGGCCTGCCTTGGGCAGGCAGAGTGTCAACAAAGTCAGCAACGAATGGCTCCAGAGCTCCCTCCTGTACGAGAACCTCCTCCTCATACTCCTCAATAATCTCCTCGTAGTCCTATTCGTCCACAGGCACGAACTCTACCAACTCGTGATATACATGCATGAAATGATGATGCAACACTTAGTAACATGGCAATAGCAACTCTTAAAATAAGAATACATCTGTCAAGCTACTAAGCTAGTGCTACTGACTAAGGTGCTAAGTTACCTACTGTTACCACTAA